CATGAGAAGAGTTCATGATTATGAATCTTAGTACAGTACAGGTCTGCCATACCATAAAGGATATTTTCAGCTGAGCATACTCTTTCTGTTTAGGACCTAGCTCAAGTCTTTATGACAGCTCTGTGAAGCAGTATAGCAGGTAACATTAACCCTTTTTACAGGTGAAAGCAACAGAAAACTAAGCCCAGATCCACAACAAGTCTATGGGCCATGCCATCCTGGACACAACCCAGTTTATCCAAATTGTGTTAAATCCACAGAAACTCAGGTACACTCCTAGGACTTTCTGGATGTGAAGTAGCCTTGAAACGGAAGTTGTTTCTTTTTATTTCTCTCCTAACCTCTGTTGTTTTTCTGCCTGGCCCATGGTCAGGACAAATCTCTCTCACCCACCGCCAGTCCCGCAGCCGCTCAGACCCAACCAAATAAACACACAGATACTTATATTGCTTACAATATTAGTTATTGTTAGCTGTTCTTATATCTTAAATTAACCCATTTCTATTAATCTATAAGTTGCCATGTGGCTTGTGGCTTACCGGTATCTTAACATCTGCTTCTCATCGTGGTGGCTGGCAGTGTCCCTCTGCCTCAGCCTTCCACTTCCCAAAATTCTCCTCTCTCCTTGTCCCGCCTGTACTTCCTGCCTGGCTACTGGCCAATCAGTGTTTTATTTATTAACCAATCAGAGCAACACATTTAACATACAGAACATCCCACAGCATTCTGTCTTAGTTAAGATTTCTAGCACTACAGTAAAACATTATGACCAAAAAGTAAGTTGAGTCATTCTCTCAACTGAGGCTCCTTCCTCTCTGATGACTCCAGCTTGTGTCAAGTTGACACACAAAACCAGCCACTACACTCTTCTTCCCTCCCATCACCCCCCTGTTTGTGTGTGTGTGTGTGTGTGTGTGTGTGTGTGTGTGTGTGTGTGTGTGTGTGTTTGTGTGTTTCAGGGTCTCATATAGCTGGTGGCCTCAGATTTGAGGATGACCTTGAACTCTTGATCCTCCTGCTTTTGCCTCCCAAGTGCTGAGATTATAGGTATTATCTACCACACCAGGATGGAAAATGGAAAAACTCTTCTATGATTTAAAAAAAAAAAAAAGAAGAATTTGTTTCCTACAATGCCTTCTTTTCTTTTCCTTCTTCAGTAGATTTGATCTCTCAACATATTTTCATTTGAGATCTGTTTCTTTTTTATTTACTTATTTTACTCCATATGCATATGTATATGCACACCATGTACATGCCTAGCCTGCAAAGGCCAGAAGAGGGCTTCTGGTCCCCTAGAACTAGAATTGGTTATGAGCCACCATGTAGATGCTGGGAATAAAACCCAGGTTCTCTGAAAGATCAACAAGTACTCTAAACTGCTGAGCCATTTCACCAGCCCCAGACCTGCTGCTTATCTGACAAAAGGATCCAGTGTTGTGGTTTTGTTTTGTTTTTCTCTCTCCCAAACCTTCATTGGGAGTGTAATTTAATCACAGTAAACAGCTTCCATCTCAAGCACAGAGTTCAAGGGAAGCCTGACACTTTTTGAAGTTCTCTCAGTATTGGTTGGTGTAGCTACACCATTGTCTCAGTTTTCTTACTCTTGGGTCTGCTACAGGCTTGTTTTCCCAAGTTACATTAGGTCAGACCAGTCCCATAGACTGTGGTTAGATAGATGGGTTACTATTCCATATACTTGAGAATTTCAGCAAGTTTCTTTACTCTTATTGAAAAAAAAAATGTTGGCTGGGCAGTGGTGGTGCATGCTTTTAATCCCAACACTTGGGAGGCAGAGGCATGTGGATCTCTGTGAGTTCGAGGCCAGCCTGGTCTACAGAGCAAGATCCAGGACAGGCTCCAAAGCTACACAGAGAAACCCTGTCTTGAAAAACCAAATAAGGGGGCTGGAGAGATGGCTCAGCAGTTAAGAGCCCTGGCTGCTCTTCCAAGGACCCAGGTTCAATTTCTAGCACCCACATGGCAGTTTGCAACTGTCTATAACTCCAATTCCAGGGGCTCTGATGCCAATACAAATAAAATAAAATTTAAAAAACCCAAATAAATAAAATTTTTAAATGTTATTAAGTCTTATTTAGTGTGTATATGTGTTTATATGTATGTGGATGCTTGCACCACAGTGCATGTGGAGGTCAGAGGCCAACCCACAGGAGTTGGGTTTCTCCTTCCACCATGTGAGTCCCATTAAGACTTGCCTGACTTCTGTCCTCTTTTTCAGTGGGGCCAAATGTTTGGATTCTGGTTGTTGCTGCATCAGTCACTAACTGCTGGTTAGTTCTGTCAACTTGACCACTGGGGGAAAGGAGTTCTCATTTGAGGAATTGGCCTGACAGCACATCTGTGGGGCATTTTCCTGGTTGATAATTGATGTAGGAGGGTCCAGCTACTCTAGACAATGCCATCCTTGGGCGGGTGGACCTGGGCTGAGCAAGTGAGGGGCATCTAGCCAGTAAGCGGTGTTCCTCCATAATCTTTGCTTCAGTTCTGCTTCCACGTTCCTGCCTTGAGTTCTTGCCCTGACTTCCCCTCGGTGACGGACAGTGATGTGAGAGTGGGAGCCAAGGAAACCCTTTCCTCCCAAATGCTTTCGGTCAGTTTTTATCACAGCCACAGAAATGAAAGCTACGACACTAATGCTGTGATCTTGGCAAATGTCCTAACCTCTTTGCCTCAGTCCTTCATCCTTTCATCAATGATGAGGAGACTAGATCCATCTCTTGCCTTGTGGTAAGAAGCTGGTAAGACTGAGGTGCTTGAGGACCTTGCTGGCCTGTCATAGGAACTTGGCGAGTGTCTGCTGCTTCTCATTCTTGGAGGAACAGTGAGTCAATTGAAAGGCAGGAACAATATTCTTGTTTTTAGGACTGTGGTGTCTGATTCCTTCAGCTGTGTCCCACAGAGCCTCTGAGGCTGCACTTCCTCCTCCTTCTAACCCAAGGTTGGACAAGCCCTGACCCTTCTCACTACACAGGAGTTGACTTAGGCCACATTTTATATTTGTAGATTAGGTGGGAGTTGAATAGATCAGAGTGAAGTAAATCAGCTTTAGATTGGTTGGGAACCCTCTAAATATTGGCTTTATATTCGCAGAGTTGAATACTTGTTTGGTAGATTTCTTTCATAGCTTTTCTCTTTTCAGGAGGCTACTGAGAGAGTAGATCTTTTCAGATACCTTAGCTCCTCAGCAACTCTTTGAGTCATTTGTTTCCCAAATTTCAAATACTGAAAAAAATTGAAAGTATCCAAATCTTCGTTACCCACATTTATTTATTTTTTAAAATTAGGTATGTGAGGTGTGAGGGTGTGCTGTGGGGTCCACATGCCCTGGAGATCAGATGACAACTGTAGTGTCCATTCTCCCCGCCACCTTTATTTGTGTTCTGAGGATTGAACTCCGTCACTGGCTTTTATGGCAAGAACCTGATGTCACCAACTCAGCCAACTTGCCGATCCTATTTTTAGTTGTTTTACTTTTCGAGATTTATTTATTGTTTGGTTGGTTTGGTTTTTTCAAGACAGGATTCCTCTGTGTAGCACTGGCTGTCCTGGAACTCTCTTTGTAGCCCAGGCTGGCCTCTCACAGAGATCCACCTGCCTCTGCCTACTGAGTGCTGAGATTAAAGGTGTGCACCACCACTGCCTGGCTTAAGGTTTGTTTGTTTGTTTGTTTATTTGGGTTTTTTTGTTTTGGTTTTTTGAGACAGGGTTTCTCTATGTAGCTTTGCACCTTTCCTGGAACTCATTCTGTAGCCTAGGCGGGCCTCGAACTCACAGAGTTCCGCCTGCCTCTGCCTCCCGAGTGCTGGGATTAAAGGTGTGCCACCATGGCCCAGCAGGGTTTATTTTTATTTCATGTTTATGAATGTTTTGTCTGGATGTGCATATGTGCACCACGTGTAGGTGAGAAGACATTGGATCCTCTGAAATTGGAGTAATAGCTGTGGGCCACCATGTAGTTGCTAGCAGGAGGCTAAACCTAGGTCTTCAGCAAGAGCAGCAAGCCCTGCGTCCTAGGGAAGCACTGTACCAGCTGAGCCAACTCCATTCCTGTTTTTTTTTTTTTTTTTGGTTTTTTTCGGGACAGGGTTTCTCTGGGTAGCTTTGCGCCTTTCCTGGAACTCGCTTTGGAGACCAGGCTGGCCTTGAACTCACAGAGATCCGCCTGGCTCTGCCTCCCGAGTGCTGGGATTAAAGGCGTGCGCCACCACCGCCCGGCATCCCTGTTTTTTTTAGGTATTTTTTTGAGGATTTATTAATTTTTTTTTATTTACATGTACGAGTATTTGCCTTCATGTGTGTCTATGCACCACGTTGTGAAAGGAGACCCAAAGAGGGCCCTGGATTCCCTGATACTGAAGTAACAAATGATTGTTAGCTGTCTTGTGGGTGCTGGGAACTGAACCGGCATCCTCTGGAAGGGCAGCCTATTCTCTGAACTGCTGAACCATCTCCCCAGCCCTGTTGTTTTTATTTGAATGATATCCCACTCCACGCTGGCTCATTTCTCATCACACTCCCTCAGGCCTTTCCTGAGAGTCATTGGTGCCCTTCCCTGCCATGTAGGTGGGTGGGAGTGGGGTTTGCACCCATGCTTGTTTGGAGCCTCTTGCCTATGTGTACTTTGAGTTTAGGGTTATACCTGTGATTTTAGAACAAAGGATTCTTGAAGGAGGTTTAAGTTAGTGACCCTTTGAGATCTTCATAGGGCTCTATTTCAGCTAGTTAAGACCTGTTGCTCCTTGAGCTGGTAGAATCCTGGTGTCTATTGAGAAGGCTATAGCATGTGAGGGACCTGTTGAGGTGTTTGCACAGGGTATTTAGTCTTCATTTTCATGGGCTCAGAGGAGGAGGAGGCCGTCCTGGTCAGCTCCTGTGTGCTGTTGATAGCTGAGGCCGAGCTTTGACGACTGCCTCAGACTCGGGGCACATCTGCAGATCTTCCTTACCACTTCTTTTTTTTTTTTTTTTTCCCCTTCCTCTAGTTTGTCCTGAAGAATTACGGAGAGAACCCAGAAGCCTACAATGAGGAACTGAAGAAGCTGGAGTTACTCAGACAGGTAGGAGTATTTTTATGTTGATACAAATGGAATTGGTTTGCTAAAGAAGTATTTAAAACACACACACACACACATCTCTACCATCTACTGTGGTCAATATTTTAATTTACTAATTTTCACTTTATTTAATTATTTATTTAGTCTACAGAAGCACCAATGCTGGTAGAAAAGTTTTTGTGTTAACTCCGACAGTCTGATAGGTGAAAAAGGATTTTATTTTACTTACTTTTTCTTTCCCCACGGGTCTCAGTGTAGCTCAGGCTGGCCTTCGGTCCTGAAAGTTCTGGGACTAAAGGCATTGTCCCTTTATGTTTAAGTCTTAGTTATTTTGCTGTAATGGGGATTGAACTCATGTCTTCAGGCTTGATATCAAGTGTTCTTACTTGTTGTGCCATCTAGCTATTTCTGAGACATGGTTTCATGTTACCCTCAGAGGCCTACAACTTCATGTAGCTGAGGATGATCTTAAAGTTTTGATCCTCCCTCCTCATCTTCAGGGCTGAGGTTACAGTAACCATCTCCAGTTTATGTAATCCTAGGTCACACCAGGGCTTTATTCATACCAGGCAAGGATTCTACCAGCTGAATATCCACAGACTCCTTTGGTTTTTTGTTGTTGTTGGTTTGTTTATTTGTTTGAGACAAAGTCTCTCTGTGTAGCTCTGGTTATCCTGGAATTCACTCTGTAGTCCAGGCTGGCCTCAAACTCAGAGATCTACCTGCCTCTGCCTCCCAAGTGCTGGATTAAAGGCCTGCGCCATCACACCGCTCTAAGGTGGTTTTTTTAAAACTTAAAACAGTTTTAATTTCCCCTTTCCCCCATATTTTCAACCATTTTGAAACATTCATGTATAAGAATTCAGCATATTTTCAGTCTGTTGGATTTTTTTTTTTGTTTTTCTACATTGTCTTTTGTCAGGCCCGGAAGATCTCAGATATGGCAGCTTCTTCATTATCTGTTGTTTCGCCTTCTGAAATTTCACTTACTTTCAGTCACTTGTATTCCAGAATATTAAATGGAAAATTCCAGAATAAGTAATTTAGAAGTTTAAGTTGCTTGCAGTTCTGAGTAGTATAACTAAATCTGATGCCATCCTGCTCTGTCTTATCCCACCTAGAATGTTCATTGTTGCTTTGCTTAGTGAATGAAATCTCATGATACCTTGTTTAAATTTTTGTGTGTGTTTGCACACACAAGAGTGGGGCCATGTTTGCACATTTGTGTGGCAATCACAGGACAACTTGCAAAAGTCTGTTCTCCCCTTCTGCCATGGGTTCCAGGGACTGAACTCAGATGGACGGGGTTCACAGCAAGTGCTTGTACCCACTGCGCTATCCCTACAGTTCAGTGCTGTGTTTATTAAGTAACTCTTTCTGTTGTTGTTTGGTTTTATTTTTGTTTTTTTGAGATGGGTCTCTATGTAATTCTGGCTGTCCTGGAGATGGCTATGTAGACCAGGCTGGCTTCTGCCCCCTGAGTGCTGGGGTTAAAGGTGTGTGCCACCATCCTCAGCGGCCCTTATTTTCTTAATAAATAGTCATGATGTTGGCAATTGTCGATACCAAAGAGAAACTGTGAAACACTTTCTTGAAGTCAAGCATGGTGGTGCACACTAGTAAGCCCAGCTTTAGGAGGCAGTGGCAGGATGGCTGAGTGTGAGCCTGGGCTATAGTGACACTCTTTCTCGAGCCCTCTTTTTTTGGGGGGGGGTTTTCAAGACAGGGTTTCTCTGTGTAGTTTTGGTGCCTGTCCTAGATCTCGCTCTGTAGACTAGGCTGTCCTCGAACTCAGAGATCCGCCTGGCTCTGTCTCCCGAGTGCTGGGATTAAAGGCGTGTGCCACCACTGCTTAGCTTCAAACCCACATTTTTTTAAAAAGTCCCAGGTGATGGTGGCGCACACCTTTAATCCCAGATGCAGGTGGAACTCTGTGAGTTCAAGGCCAATCTGTTCTATAAATCGAGTTCCAGGACAGCTGGAGCTGTTACACAGAGAAACCCTGTCTCAAAAAACAAACAAACAAAAGCCAAAACAAAACTGCTGTTAACGTGGGTAGGAATTATCACTACAACAGCCTCCTTTTGGTTCTTTTGGGTGTATACTCAGAAGTGGAATTACTGAATTATGTAATAGATGGGATTTTTGAAGAATCACCACACTGTAATTTTGCACAGTGGCTCACCATTTTACATCTCCACTAGTAGTACACAAGCATCCTAATTTCTCCATTCTCCCAGTGTTTGCTCTTTTCTTTGTTGTTTTTGAGAGTCTCACCATGTAGCCCAGGCTGTCCTGGAACTTGTGATCCTCCTCCAGCCTCCTTGGTTTACAAGTATGCAAACAGCCTTGCTGACTGTTTTTTGGGAAGTGTTGCCCCCCACCCCCAGCAGGGTCTTATGTAGTCCAAGCTGGCCTTTAACTTATTTTGTAGTGAAATATAACTTGATCCTGATCTTCCTGCCTCTACCTTCCAGGTGTTAGGAATACAGTCATGTACTACCATGCCTGGCTTATTTTATTTTTTTAATTACTAATAGTCATCCTAATCAGTGTCGGGTAAAGGATGAGGCGTGTCAGGCAAACGGAGGAGTGTGTACATGCTGAGAGCACCCTTGCTAAGGGCTCCAAATCCGCTATTAGCATCCTAGTGAGGGTCTCTTGTCCCTTCTTCGGGGTGGGACAAGGGAAAGTTTATGGTGTTTTAAGCCCAATTCCTCACTGGGCACCTGCTTCTTGATAGTTATATGGTCTGCTTTTCAAAATGTGAACAGAGGATTTCTTTGTTCTGTTTCTTTTTCCTCCCAAATAGAAAGGTTTGTTACTATAAAAATTGAAAATAGTTAATATCCAGAATATATGAGCAAAGGAAAATTTATGTCTATATCAGACACGTATCTGCCCCCCTTCTCTCTACATAAATATGCATGTATGTATCTGTGTGTGTGTGTGTGTGTGTGTGTGTGTGTGTGTGTGTGTGTGTATGTGTGTATGTACAATAAACTGGGGCTGGGAAGATAGCTCATTTGGTAAAGTGCCAGGCATGCAAGCATGAGAACTTGGGTTTAGATCCCCCAAATCCATATAAAATACCAGGTGTGGTCATGCGCATTTGTAACCCTAGTGCTTGGCAGGGGGTGAAAGGTCAGGTGAGTGGAGATAGGTAGCCAGTTGGAGAGCTCTGGGTTTCTCTGTTTTCAAAAGATAAGGTGTCGAGTTATAGACAGTTGATGTCAACCTCTGGTATGTGCACTTGCATACACTGTACATACAGAGAGAAATCACTTCAGGAGTAGTATTCGTAGATAATCACTGTCAGCATTTTGAGGTATAGTCATCTGGATTTTTTTTCCCTTTTTGGTCCATATATTTATTTGCAGAGCCTATGCTTGTACAGAAATGAGATCATAGATTCATCTGTTAGATTATTTTTTTTGTCTATATTTCATAGAAGTCATAGTATATCCATAACAACCTGTCTTTAGTTTGGCTGAGGAATATTTTCTTGTGTAAGTAGCCTTGACATAGTTCATGTAAACAGTCCTCTTTAATAGCAAGTCTAGTGGCATCCAGTTTTTTAATCTGATAATGCTGTGAGAAATGCCCTCGAATGCAGTCAAGGATTTTTACCCCCTCTTGGATATCTACCCTCCATGAATCATTTTTCTGAGGCAAGGTCTCATGTAACTCAGGCTGACTTCAAACTTGCTTTATAGTCAAGAATGACCTTGAATGATTGATCCTCCTGGGCTCTGGGATTACAGCTGTGCATCATCATGTCTGGATTTCCTGGATGTCTCTTACTGTTCAGTTTTAGATATAGAACTGTGGGTCAAAAGTTAAACATAGGTGGAAGGGAAAAGGTTAAACATAGGAGCTGGAGAGATGGCTCAGCAGTTAAGAGCACTGGCTGGTTCAGTTCCCAGCACCTGCATGGCAGTTCACAACTGTCTGTAACTCAAGTTCCAGGAGATCCAGTTCCTTCTTCTGACCTCCACAGACACCAGGCACACATGTGATGCACATACATGCATAAAATAATATTTTTTTAACGTCGAATATAGTCAAAATTTTAAAGCATATTGTAGAGTATCTTCTAGAAATGTGGACAGACTCCGTCTACCAGCCTTGGCTGGCAGTATGGTATGTCCAACAACTGTAGGTGCAGATAGAGCTTTTTTTGAAATCTCTAACGATGGTGAGCCTGTTCCTTCCATCCTAATTCCCAGAATGCTATTCGTGTTGCACGGGACTTTGAGGGCTGCAGTGTCCTTCGAAAGTATCTTGGCCAGCTACACTACCTGCAGAGTCGGGTGCCCATGGGCTCAGGCCAGGAGGCCGCTGTAGCTGTCACCTGGTGAGAGCTGGTAGGCTGGGCTGGGAAGTTGAAAACTTAGAAGGTGCTTGGACAGCTGGGATACTTGGGTGGTAGGCATGATCCCTTCCCCTCTCCTTTCTCCTTGCACAGGATGGGGAGTATTAGTGTGGTCTCCCATAGACCTCTGTCTCATACTGGAGTGGTTGGTCCCCTTCCCTGACCCTTGGGCCCAGGCCAGGTCCTTCCCTCTAGATGACTGAGATGCATGTCTGCAGGACTGAGATCTTCTCAGGAAAGTCTGTGGCCCATGAAGACATCAAGTACGAGCAGGCCTGTATTCTCTACAACCTTGGTAAGCTGCTTGATCCTTCCATGGGCCCTATGCCAAGCCCTGCCAGCCCTGGGTCTCAGCTCATCAGGTCAGATGGCCAAAAAATCTATGGCTGAATGAAAGGAAGATGCCTGCGTTGTGACCCCTCCTCTGCCTCTACCACAGCTACACTGGCACTTCTGCTGTTTTATGGGCCCCTGGGAAGTCACTGTTTAGAAGAGCTACTCTGCCAGTCTGACTACCACAGATTTGTCCCTGTGCACTCCAACAGGGAGTCATGGCCTTTCTTTGCCTGGACAGTATCACTCACTCCCCTATTAAGGCTTCAGATTGAGAGGATAAGGCTGGCCTTAGATTGCCCCTCAGTCAGTGTGGCTATTGGCTGAGGGGAAAGCATGGGGGCTCCTCCCTCTTCTACCCCCCAGCCAGGTACATAACAGGAGAAAGGATTTGGCCCAGTTCTCGGACTTGTTTTTCTGACGGAATGACAACAGGTGCCCCTCTGCTTCAGTCTCAACACAGGTGTAGGCAGCCTGGGAAGCATCTCCAGGCTCTCCTAACAATGCTCCCATCTCTCTAGGTGCATTGCACTCCATGCTGGGGGCTATGGACAAGCGGGTGTCTGAGGAGGTAAGGACTGGGGAGGGGGCAGTGTGGACATGTGGGTATGCTATGGAGGACACCAAGTGTCCTCAGCTCCCAGAAGTTGAATGATTCCTGCCTTACGGAAGTGGCCATCTTTCACCTCTTCCCTCCTAGGGCATGAAAGTCTCCTGCACCCACTTCCAGTGTGCAGCAGGTGCCTTTGCCTACTTGCGTGAGCACTTCCCACAGGCCTTCAGTGTAGACATGAGTCGCCAGATCCTCACTCTCAATGTCAACCTCATGCTGGTGAGCCAAATTGTTTTTCTGTTTTGAGATGAGGTCACATTTTGTAGCTCAGGCTGGTCTGAAACTCACTGTGTAGCCCAGGCTTGCTTCAGAATCATGGCCAATCCTCCTGCCTCAGTCTTTTTGGGGTTAGTCATGAAGTTAGCCACCACCCCTAACTTTAGGTTGGATTGGAGAAGAAGTGGCTAAGGGAGGAGGCAGTTCATCTAGATTCTGGGCCAGTCATGTTGCAGGTAGTAAGGGAGAGGCAGGAAGGAGGCCTGGCATTGGGTCTTTTGAGTTCAGGTAGATCAGGCACAGGGTGGTAATTCTGGGAGCTGAGGAGACTAGAAGAGAGCAGCCAAGAGGGACTATTTTGGTCCATCCCTTGGCTCCCAAGAAGAGAAGGACCTTCAGGTGAACAGGGCATTGACCTGCACTTGTTGCTCCAGGGCCAGGCTCAGGAGTGCTTGTTGGAGAAGTCCATGTTGGACAACCGGAAGAGCTTTCTAGTGGCCCGCATCAGTGCACAGGTAGGAACAGGACCGAGGATGAGCATTTGCTTTGCTCCTGATCCTTGATAACTGAACTGATGATCCCAATTCCTAGGTGGTAGATTACTACAAGGAGGCATGCCGGGCCTTGGAAAACCCTGAAACCGCTTCCCTGCTGGGCCGTATCCAGAAAGACTGGAAGAAGTTGGTCCAGATGAAGATCTACTACTTTGCAGCTGTGGCTCATGTAAGACAAGCAGTTACTGGTTGTGGCCTGGGCCAGGTGGCTGTAGCTCAGGCAGCAAGTCATGATGCCTCCTCTTCTTTCCTAGCTGCACATGGGGAAGCAGGCTGAGGAGCAACAGAAATTTGGGGAACGGGTGAGTGGACTGTGGGTAAGGGGGACCCTCAGGACATGTTCCAGGATTTTAAGGTTCTGTCTTTACATCATCCTGGAGGTAGTCCTCTTTGCTCCCCCTTGACCCCTCATCTTTCTCACCATGTGCCAGGCCATCATGACCTTTCTGTAGGCTTTGCATCTTCCCACCTTGTAGCCCTCATTCCTAGGGGTCTGAGGAGACAGGATGGGCTCCCAATAGGGAGGATGACTCTTTGGAGGTATAAGCTACAGGGTGGAGCTATTTGGGGCTATTGGCTTGGCTGGCATATGCTGCCTGAGGTGCTGGTCTTATGACCAGTGATCCAATCATCAAGTAGGACAAAATGGGGAGATGGAATATTAGGGTCCAAGAGGATAGGACAGACCAGGCTTTGCCCTCCACAGGTGGCCTACTTCCAGAGTGCCCTGGACAAGCTTAATGAAGCTATCAAGTTGGCCAAGGTAAAGCTGAATGAGTGTGACTGCCTTTCAGAGCCATGAAGGCAGATGGCAAGGCTAGCTGAGCTGACTGATCTCAACACTGGCCTTGGTTATCTCTTCATCTCTCCAGGGCCAGCCTGACACTGTGCAGGATGCACTTCGATTTGCTATGGATGTCATTGGGGGAAAGTAAGTATGTGGGACTAGGGTTGTCAAGTTTTTCTTATTAAATATCTTGTTCTTCTGCACCCTTGGGAGGAATCTAACAGTGCCAGGGAGCAGTGACCTACATGGGAGTCTAGTGTGTGGATCCTTGGTAATCTGTGATTTCTCTCCCCCTGCCATTCCCAGATATAATTCTGCCAAGAAGGATAATGACTTTATCTACCACGAGGCTGTGCCAGCACTGGATACCCTTCAGCCTGTGAAAGGTCTGATAGCTGAGGGGAAGCTGAGGAGTGGGGTGGCAAAGGAAGATGGAATAGGGAGGAGCTGCCTTGAGTCTTCATATGGACCTGATCTCTGTGATACTCCCTGCTCTTAGGAGCCCCCTTGGTGAAGCCCTTGCCAGTGAACCCCACAGACCCAGCTGTTACAGGTCCCGATATCTTCGCCAAATTGGTACCTATGGCTGCCCATGAGGCCTCATCACTGTACAGGTGTGTAGGAGGGACCAGCTCCTTTGCTTGATACAGAGGTCCTTGAGGTCCTTCAAGTATATAGGTCTCCAGCAACTGGTCTGTTTATTCCTTAGCGAGGAGAAGGCCAAGCTACTTCGGGAAATGCTGGCTAAGATTGAAGACAAGAATGAGGTCCTAGAGTAAGTGTGGGACAAGCGGTGGGAGGTAGGGCACACACCAGATTTCTTGCCTCCCTGCCCAGAATCTAGATTGAGATTTTGGAGTGTTGATGTGCTGTGGAGGATGTCCTGCCCCACCGTCGCTATCACTGTCTGGCATAGCCTGCCAGTCCATGTTTCAGTCTAGTTCCAGTGGAGGGGTCAACTAGCAGGCTTTATGTGGAAGGAATTGGGTCAGAGCCAATTGTCATCTGATCCTGCTGTCATCCTTCTCCCTTCCCTAGTCAGTTCATGGACTCAATGCAGCTTGACCCTGAGACAGTAGACAACCTAGATGCCTACAACCATATTCCACCCCAGCTCATGGAGAAGTGTGCGGCACTCAGTGTCCGGCCTGACACCGTCAAGAACCTTGTCCAGTCTATGCAGGGTGAGCAAAGCACGAAGCAGACAGGTGCAATGGGTAGCATGCAAGTCATCTGCCGTGGCCTCCTCCACTGAGGATGCTGGGGAAGCCCTGGCCCAGGCATGCACCATCCACATGCTTCTGTAGATCAGTGAACCATAGGCTTCTTGTATTTGTGGAGTTTAGCAAGTGCTGGGAAACAAGCTCTGATCCAAGTGGGCATTTCTGTGTCTTGTGGGCAGAGGGCTGAGTGGTGCCTGGTTTGCCTAACTCAGTGGCTACCCCCCATACCCTTCAGTGCTGTCAGGTGTGTTCACGGATGTGGAGGCCTCCCTCAAGGACATCAGGGATCTGCTGGAGGAAGATGAGCTGCAGGAGCAGAAACTGCAGGAGACCCTGGGTCAGGCTGGGGCTGCCCCTGGCCCCTCCGCGGCCAAGGCTGAGCTCGTAGAGGTGAGGCGAGAGTGGGCCAAGTACATGGAAGTTCATGAAAAGGCTTCCTTCACCAACAGCGAGCTGCACCGTGCTATGAATCTACACATTGGTAACTTGCGCCTGCTCAGTGGACCACTGGATCAGGTGCGGGCTGCCCTACCCACGCCAGCCCTTACCCCAGGTAAGCCCCGCCCATTGCTAGCAGGAGAGGCTTGGAGCGGGGTTTTCTTCGGCCTCACTGATTGCTGCTGCCCTCAGAGGACAAAGCTGTGCTGCAAAACCTGAAGCGCATCCTAGCCAAGGTGCAGGAGATGCGGGACCAGCGTGTGTCCCTGGAGCAGCAGCTCCGAGAGCTGATCCAGAAGGATGACATCACTGCCTCCCTGGTCACCACTGACCACTCAGAGATGAAGGTGGGTTGGATGAGCTTCGAGCGAGGGCTCTGTTTCTGGGCTTCTTCCTTAGTGTTTTTTTTTTTGTCCCGTCTTCCCACAGAAACTGTTTGAGGAACAACTGAAGAAGTATGATCAGCTGAAGGTGTACCTGGAGCAGAACCTGGCTGCCCAGGACAATGTCCTCCGGGCACTGACTGAGGCCAATGTGCAGTATGCAGCTGTGCGGCGGGTGCTTAGTGAGCTGGACCAAAAGTCAGTGTCTGCCGTTGTTCTTACCTCAAGCCCCGTCTGGAGCTCTGTCCCTACAATTAGCCTCATCCTGGCTTTTCCTTTTGCCCACCAAGGTGGAATTCCACACTGCAGACCCTGGTGGCTTCCTATGAAGCCTATGAGGACCTGATGAAGAAGTCCCAGGAAGGCAAGGACTTTTATGCAGACCTGGAAAGCAAGGTAGCCACCCTGCTGGAACGGGCACAGTCCATCTGTCGTGCCCAAGAGGCTGCCCGCCAGCAGCTCCTGGACAGGTGGGTGTGCGCATTAGTTTCATTGTGGACCCAGCCCAGGCCAGCCTGGTTTATGGGAGCTGGTCTTACTTCCCTGCCTGTCCCTTAGGGAGCTGAAGAAGAAGGCACCACCACCTCGGCCCACAGCCCCCAAACCATTGCTCGCCCGCCGTGAGGAGGGTGAGGCAGTAGAGACTGGAGACCCACCTGAGGAGCTGCGCAGCTTGCCCCCTGATATGGTGGTTGGCTCCCGGCTGCCTGACCCATTCCTAGGAACTACTGCCCCACTCCACTTTTCTCCTGGCCCCTACCCTAGCTCCACAGGCCCAGCAGCCCACTATCTCTCAGGACCCTTACCCCCTGGAACCTATTCAGGCCCCACTCAACTGATGCAGCCTAGGGCTGCAGTGCCCATGGCATCTGGGACAGTCCTCTACCCAGCCCCCGCCTACACATCGGAGTTGGGCCTTGTACCCAGATCCTCTCCCCAGCATGGAGTTGTAAGCAGTCCCTATGTGGGGGTAGGGCCACCTCCACCAGTTGTAGGTCTTCCCTCTGCTCCACCTCCCCAGTTCTCAGGACCTGAGTTAGCCATGGCAGTTCGGCCAGCTACCACCACCGTAGATAGTGTCCAGGCCCCTATCTCTAGCCATACAGCACCACGGCCAAACCCTACCCCAGCTCTTCCCCAGCCCTGCTTTCCAGTGCCTCAGCCTGTGTCCCAGCCTGTTCCCCAACCACAGCCTCTGCCCACACCCTATACTTTTTCTATGGGGACCAAGCAGCACCTCACAGGCCCTCCACCACAGCACCACTTCCCTCCTGGGATCCCCACAGGCTTTCCAGCCCCCAGGATTGGGCCCCAAGCTCAGCCTCAGCCCCACCCCCCACCCCCACCCCCACCTGCACAAACAACATTTGGGCCACAACCCCCACAACAACCCCTTCCATTCCAGCATCCACATCTCTTCCCATCTCAGGCCCCAAGGGTCCTTCCTCCACTTCCCTACCCTTTTACCCCTCAGCCTGGTGTCTTGGGGCAGCCCTCACCCACCGTGCACAGCCAGCTCTATCCAGGCCCATCTCAAGACCCTCTTCCCCCACACTCGGGGGCTCTGCCTTTCCCTAGCCCTGGGCCTCCTCATCCTCACCCCACCCTGGCATATGGCCCTGCCCCTTCCCCTAGGCCCCTGGGTCCTCCGGCAACTCCTGTTTCTATTCGAGGCCCCCCACCAGCCAGTCAGCCCACCCCTAGTCCCCACTTGGTGCCTTCACCTGCCCCATCGCCAGGGCCTGGTCCAGTACCTTCAAGGCCTCCAACAGCAGAGCCACCACCGTGCTTGCGTCGAGGTGCTGCAGCTGCAGACCTGCTGTCTTCTAGCCCTGAGAGCCAGCATGGAGGTACTCAGCCTCCTGGGGGTGGACAGCCCCTGCTGCAGCCTACCAAGGTAGATGCAGCTGAAGGCCGTCGGCCACAGGCCCTGCGGCTGATTGAGCAGGACCCCTACGAACATCCTGAGAGGCTGCGGCAGTTGCAGCAGGAGCTGGAGACCTTTCGGGGACAGCTGGGGGATGTAGGAGCACTGGATGCAATCTGGAGAGAGTTGCAAGAGGCACAGGAACATGATGCCCGAGGTCGATCCATTGCTATTGCCCGCTGCTACTCGCTGAAGAACCGGCACCAGGATGTTATGCCCTATGACAGTAACCGTGTAGTGTTGCGCTCAGGCAAAGATGACTACATCAATGCTAGTTGTGTGGAGGGGCTCTCGCCATACTGTCCACCCTTAGTGGCCACCCAGGCCCCACTGCCTGGCACAGCTGCTGATTTCTGGCTCATGGTGCATGAACAGAAAGTATCAGTCATTGTCATGTTGGTGTCTGAGGCAGAAATGGAAAAGGTAAGAGCCTAGATGGGTATTCAGGAGGAGATTATGGAGTGGGGAGGCAGGGAGTCTGGGAAAGCTAGCCTTAACTATCTTGTCTGTTCTTCAGCAAAAGGTGGCACGCTACTTCCCCACTGAGAGGGGCCAGCCCATGGTGCACGGAGCCCTGAGCGTGGCACTGAGCAGTGTTCGCACTACCGAAACCCATGTGGAGCGGGTGCTGAGTCTGCAGTTCCGTGATCAGAGCCTCAAGCGCTCTCTTGTGCACCTCCACTTCCCTACTTGGCCTGAGTTGTGCGTTCACTGTTCTGGATGGTGGGAGTTAGGGTAAACTCCTTGGGTGCTTGGGGGTGAAGGCCTCTCACATCAGGCCTGGTTCATACCTGTCCTTTCCCTCCAGAGGCCTGCCAGACAGTCCTGGCAACCTGCTGCGCTTCATCCAGGAGGTACATGCACATTATTTGCACCAGCGACCTCTGCACACACCTATTGTTGTACACTGCAGGTAGGGAGCTGGCACCCACCTGAAGGAGGGTTGCTGCCCCATGGGCTCTTAGCCTGGCCTTATGCTTTCCTTCTTGCCACAGCTCTGGAGTGGGCCGCACAGGAGCCTTTGCACTGCTGTATGCAGCGGTGCAGGAGGTAGAGGCTGGGAACGGGATTCCTGAGCTGCCTCAGCTGGTGAGGCGGATGAGGCAGCAGAGAAAACACATGCTGCAGGAAAAAGTGAGTGGGTGGACTGGGTTGAGCTGGGTCTTGCCCATTGAGGACGGCCCCTACGCAGCTGACTAGACCAAATGTGTCTTTCTAGCTGCACCTCAGGTTCTGCCATGAGGCACTGGTGAGGCATGTGGAGCAGGTTCTACAGCGCCATGGTGTGCCCCCTCCAGGCAAGCCCGTGGCCAGCACAAGCATCAGTCAGAAGGTAAGAGTAGTTCCTTGAGGGCTCTGCTGGGACAGTCACAACCTGGTGAAACTGTCTTCTTACTAGCTCTACCTTCTCAGAATCACCTGCCTCAGGACTCCCAGGATCTGGTCCTCGGTGGAGATGTATCCATCAGTTCCATCCAGGCTACCATTGCCAAGCTCAGCATCCGGCCCCTAGGTGGCTTGGATTCCCCAGCTGCCAGCCTCCCGGGCCTTGTAGAAACCCCAGGTCTTCCACCAGCCAGCCTTCCAGAACCTACCCCTGTCCCATCCTCTTCTCCTCCCCCTCTCTCTTCGCCTCTGCCTGAAGCCCCACAGCCAGAGGAGGAGCCACCAGTGCCTGAAGCCCCCAGCTTAGGGCCCCCCTCCTCATCCCTGGAGCTGTTGGCCTCTCTGACTCCAGAGGCATTTTCACTGGACAGCTCTTTGCGGGGAAAGCAACGGATGAGCAAGCAGAACTTTCTACAGGCCCACAATGGACAGGGTCTGAGGGCTGCCCAGCCTACGGATGACCCCCTAAGTCTCCTGGATCCACTCTGGACACTTAACAAGACCTGAACGGGCTTTGCTTCCCTGGTCCTTACACTACGTCTCCCATCCCTGCTGCCTTCACTCTGCCAGATGGAGGTGCCCTGCAGGCCTCAGGTCAGGCTCTGCTCCTTTGTGGAACCTGACATCTTTCAGCTCTGGGCTACTGAAATAATAAACCTATTCTGTGGCCAATGTCTGAGTTCACCCACTGCTGCCTCAAGACTCTGACAGACACTTCTCTCCCTTACCACATTTTCTTTTCTTTTTTTGAGACAGGGTTTCTCTGTGTAGTCTTAGCTGTCCTTGAACTTGCAGAACTCTGCCTGCCGAGGCTGGGATTAAAAGGTGTGCGCCACCACTGCCCAGCCATCACATTTCTTGAACCTCTGTGAGAAGGGTCTAGGAGCAGAGGAGATTGAAACAAGCAGCTCAGGCCCCTGGTAAATGTGGTTTTTAAAAAAGTTTAATATTACAGTCAGGAGACAACAGTTCAGTCAGCTGCAAAGAAGATGCCTAGCTCTTGCCTCCATTCTAGGTCCAAGGAGTTGCTGCCCCCAGTGCCCCACTTTGGGTGGGGGCAAGGGAGTTGTGTAGTCGGCCTGCCCTCAGTCCAGTTTCTCCAGCACAGAGGGCACATACACTAGGCTGAGCTCACTGCCAAAGTTGCAGACAATGGCAGCGTTGTCCAGCACCAGAATCTGCCGGGCAGGCTGGGCCTCACTGTTCTTGCCCAAGTAGACTGTCTGTAACAGGTCCCCGTAGTTTAGGTCCCAAAAGGAGACACAGCCCTGGCCGCCGGTCACCAGAAGGTTATCTGAGATGACACCTAAGCTTGCACCACAGCCCAGGTCCTGGAGGCAAGGCCAGAGGAGATCTTCAGTGTGCGTTCATCCCCCAAACACCAACAAGCCTACACTCTCCCTGCTTACCTGCTGAATGGAGTAAAGCTGGATGCCTGTGCTGCGGTCCCAGATATTGATAAGGTCATCCAAGCCACTACTAATGACACAGGAGGTGGTACAGGTGAGGGAGGTGACATCTCCACGGTGGGCAAATGTATGGCTGACCCGGCTGCCTGTTAGTACATCCCACAGGCAGATGGCTCCATCTTGTCCTCCACTGGCCAGGACCATGGTCTGGGGAAAGAAGCCCAAGGGAACTGGATCGTGGGTTGAGTGCCTTTGTCAACAAGGGTGTCCCCATCCCATTACTGCTTCCAAGGGCCCGACTGAGTTGGTGCATCTTACCCCCACAGCCCCACAACAGGTCCCTCACCTGATCAATGTACACAGTTGTGATTGCCCCCGAGTGGCCCTGCAGGGTAAAAAGGCAACACGAATCCTCCAGTCGGAAGACCTAGGACAGGGATGAGTAGGCTCTGGTCTCTGGGACCTTCCAAGTTACATGTTTTAGCTAGGAAATGCCTTCCATCATTCCTCTAGGACTCCTCCAGCTTAACTCCTGCTCCCCAGCCCCTTTCCAGCTCACCAGTACCCAGAGATAAACAATACACACTCTTAGAGTATGGTCTTGGCTCCCTGTCACCAGGCGCCCGGCAGCAGCTCTCAGGGCTGTGATGGGTTTTTGGTGTGCACAGGGTACTGTGTGGGTCAGGTGACAGGCCACTGTGTTGCTACTGCTGTACACAGAAGAGGAAGGAGAACTGCCTCGCCCCGGGGTCCCTAAGGAGAACGGGCTCAGTGAGCGGATTCTGAAAAGGCATCTTACCTTGCAAACACCCCCACCACCATGTATACCGCCTGCTGCTCCCAGGCCCACTGACCTCTGAACTGCAGGGGGCTGAGGGAAGTGTGCGTCTCCAAGGAAAAGAAATCAAGGGAACCATTAAGCCGAGCAGCTACAATCCTAGAAGAGAAAGACAGGAAAGACTATGGCCATAAGGAATACACAAAGTGCCATTAAAAAAAAAAAACGATGTTAGGCTGGGCGGTGATGACACACGCCTTTGATCCCAGCACTCAGTAGGCACAGCCAAGCAGATCTCTGTGAGTTCGAGGCCAGCCTGGTCTACAGAGCAAGTTCCAGGACACGCACCAAAACTACACAGAGAAACCATGTCTTGAAAAACCAAAACAGGGCTGGAGAAACGGCTCAGTGGTTAAGAGCACTGGCTGCTCTTCCAGAGGACCCGGGTTCAATTCCCAGCACCCACATGGCAGCTCCCAACTGTCTGTAACTCCAGTGCCAGGGCATCTGACACCCTCACACCAATGCACATAAAATAAATAAAATTAAAAAAAAAGATTTATTGAAAACAAAAACAACAAAAAGTGTTTAGACCTGGAGGGTGGCCGTTACTACTCAGACTCTTTAAGCGTTATTTTTTTGTAAAATGGAGATTGTAACAGTCCCCACCTCAAAGTGGTTGTATAGGTTAAATGAGCTAATATGTGTAATGTGGTCCCTCTTAAGTGTCATACACATCTGCAAATCAATACAAAAAAACAGGCTGGAGAGATGACTCAGCACTTAAGAACATATGCTCTTACAGAGGACCCAGGTTCAGTTCCCAGCACCTACATGGCAGCTCATAACCATCTGGAACTCCAGTTCCAGGGAATCTGATGCCTTCTTCTGACCTCCTGTAGCCTGGAGTTTAAGGTCAGGAGCACTGGGTCAATTCTGAGGAAGGGGAAGGGACCCCGGGTGAACATGTGCCATGGAGCCCCTATAGGGGGCTGCAATATCCATGACGTAAGTCAACTTTGACCTAAGTATAGTCTACTTGTTTCCTTTAACCACAAAAAGATTTTCTGTGCTCTCAAGAATTCTTAGGCATAGGCTGCAGGTATTTTTGCCAATTGCTCGTACAATCACAAATCAGGAGGGGCTCTGAAATCTTGTTCCAGCAAAAGGCAGTGAATATTACAACTTGTGCCCACGATCATCAAAAAAGGCTCATCTGGAGTCCATGATGCACAGGAAGGGAGAGTGAGGAGAGAGCATGGTCACCAAGAACTTCGAAGGTCAGACTCGTGAGCTCTTCCAAAAGTTGAAGAGAACAAGCAGAGAAGAAGGACTTCCGACAAGCATGAGGGAGCTAATAGTCAGCCAGACTGCAAATGACATGAAGTAAATGCCTGTGCGAGTCCCAGTGATGGCAGGAAGAGATGGCAGTGGTCAAATCGGAGTAGGCCAGAGTCCCCCGGCACCACCCTCAACCCCCCAACCGCCGCCACACACACACGCACACGCACACACGCACACGCACACACGCACACACACGCGCACGCGCAAGCTCCCGCTCTAGCTTGGATGGTGAAATCACTAACAGCTAGGAACCCTTGAAAGAGCTATCGTGGAGCAGGCAGGTAACTGAGCTTGTAAACTCGGCTGAGGGTCAGCGCTCCAGAACTAGCACACCCCTCCTCCAACCCAGTTTATATGCAGAAGTCCAAGATAGTGTGAAGGCCAGTGCACAGAAAGGAGAGAGGAACAGACAACATGAAGCAAATGGAGCCTTTTAACAAAGATGCTCTGAGGCCAGGTGAGGGACATACATGTAATTCTAACCCTTGAAAGGCTGAGGCATGAGGACTGCTTTAAGGCCAGTCTGGGCTGTATAGTGAGTTTCCGAGCAGCTTAAGTGTACCCAAATGAGAGCTTTGGAGAGATGCCTCTGAGGTTAAGAACACTGGCTGCTCTTCCAGAGAACCTGGGTTTGATTCCCAATACCCACATGGCAGCTCACAATAGTCTAAGTACAGTTCCAAAACCTGGCACCAGACACACATGTAGTGTATAGACACATATATGTAGGCAAAATACCTTTTTCAAAACAAAATACCCAAATAAGGCCGTGTTTCAAATACAAAAAAAACATTCTGCAAACAGTGAAAGTAAGAGTGAAGAAATATCCAGAGGTCGGTAGTCACAATCCAGTAAGAGACTTAGAAGGGCAGAAAGAAAGCCCAGTGTACTCTCTGGGAGCTTACCTTCTGCCTGGCCCTGTAGCAAACACTTCACTTTTTAAGATTTATTTTGTTTTGCCTACATGCCAGAAGAGGGCACCAGATCTCACTATAGATGGTTGTGAACCACCATGTAGTTGCTGGGAATTGAACTCAGGTCCTCTGGAAGAGCAGATGGGGCTCTTAACCTCTGAGCCATCTCTCCATGCCCACTTCCCTTTTTTAAGTGGTCACTACCTGAACCACCCCCGACTGACAGGTGCTAGAGACTGAGTGGAAACAGGTCAAATCCCACAGCAAGTGAAGGACAGAGTGGTCTGACGCTGACAGGTGGGGCTGAGGCAGCAGCCGGGGACTCTCACCTTCTGTCCAGGAAGACAAGGGCTGTGATGCCTGAGGAGACCTCCTCGTTGCTGCAGCAGAGCACCCCTTCAATGGCGTCCCACACCTGCAAGCACAGAGGCTGTGAAAACCCACTCCTCGCAGAAACCCCCCAGCTAGATGTGAGTACCCCTCGGCTCACCTCCAGTCGGCCGCTGCTCCGCCCGACCACGATGAGGTTGCCTTGCAGCTCCAAGCTCCAGACAGAGCCGGCTGTGCTGGGGGCCCAGGCTAGAGCAGGGGAGCTCTTCTCCGGTGCAGCCCCCTCTTCCTGAGAAGCCTGGGGCAGCGGGGATCCCGGAGAGGGTGGGCGCAGGGCCGGCATGCACACAGCAGCCAGGCCCTCCTCCTGGTACACACGCTGCACCAGGCGGCTGAAGTCATAGCCAGAGTCCCTAGAGCGGCCACAGCCCGCCCGGTGCCGAGGCTCGGGCTGAGCGGGCTCTGGGGGCAGCTGCACCGAGAAGTTGGTGTCGATTAAGCAGGTGAGGTCTGGCTGGTCCTCGAAGAGGGAAGGCGGGGGAGGCCCTCGGGGGCGGTGTCGCAGCGGAGGGCTATCCCCAGGCTCCTCGGGGCTAGTTTTGCCGCCATCCGACAGCTTTTCCCAGTTCTCCTGAGCTTCAAAAGCTCCGCCTCCGCAGCTGTCCCGGCGTGGCCTGCCCAGGTTGAGGGGCCGCAAGAATGAGCGGAGAGCAGCGGAGCCCGCGAGAGCAAGCAAGGGGCAAGGCCAACCCGCGCTTACCCTGGGCAAGCAAGGGGCAGGGCCAACCTGCACTTACCCTGGGCAAGCAAGGGGCAGGGCCAACCCGCGCTTACCCTGGGCAAGCAAGGGGCAGGGCCAACCCGCGCTTACCCTGGGCAAGCAAGGGGCAGGGCCAA